GCTGAACTGTGGATGCCTCAAATTTTACAGATTTGCCCCCCTTTTTGATTATTTTCGGGAATACATGATAGTTACTTCCTATCAACTTAGCCTTGTACAAAGTTGAATTCTCATCATCAGTAACTTTAATTTGCCCATTTTTACCATAAAATCTTGCTCCATTGATATCCACCCTAGGTCCAGATATTAAATTTCGTCTCAGTTCAGGTGAATATAACACATCTTTAAGCAAAATAACCGTATCCCCAAATTTCATTTTAACAGTACCCTTCCCATGAATTGGAAAAGTTACCCCATCAATAGCTACTAGCATATTCTCATTTTTCACAGGAGAAAAAGTATCAAACAATTCACGATTTTTACAAAAATGATGAGATGCAGCCGTATCAAAAATCCAACTATCATCATTTTCTTCCAAATTGTTAACATTGGCTTGAGCTATAAAATGGGACTGTGCATGGGAATTATTTTTACTTTTACTCAACTTGGGTTTATTCTTACACTTAGAAGATGTTTTATTACTACTAGATACAGCTGAGGAAACAGAAGAAGCAGGTGAGGGTGATCTGGAAAAATTACCTCTCATTCTACAGTATTTTTGAATATGACCTGGACGGCCACATTTATAACACTTGAGCCCTTTAATCTGCTTAAATTTGGGTTCACAGTGAGTACTTTGAACTTCTATAGTCTTATTGGAGTTTTCCCTATCTATCTCTCTTAAATTAAGACGCGTTTCCTCTGCTAGAATTTCAAGTTCAACATTTTTAAAAATGAACTTTTCATCTGGCCCACCTCAAAATATTCTGAACTACTTGATCAAATTTATCTGGAAGGAACCTAAGAAACTGGAAACATATATATACGTCTCTTACAGCCTGATTAATATCAGCTAACTGTTCAGTTACGCGTTTTAATCTAGAAGAAAAGAAACTAATACTTTCATTTGGCTTAATTTTACAATTTAAGAACTCTGAAAACAGGGACATATGTCTTGACCGATAATCTGGCTGGAAATATTTGGCAAGCGTATTCCATGCCACTACCGGGTCATCAATTTCACATATCAAGTTTCTATATTCAGGGCTTACATTCATATAAATTAACGATAATGCCAATCGACTTCTATTTTGATAGTCGGCAATAATTTCTTTTGCAATACCCTTAACATCATCCAAATCAGGACATTTTTCAATACCTTTGACCAAAAGCCATGCATTTTTTTCATTCAAGACAAACTTCATATCTTTGGACCATGTAAAATAATTACATGCATCAAGTTTAGCAATATTATGCATGACACTAACAGTAGCCATATTTGAATTTTAACAAAAACCGCCCCCCCCAATCTCTTAAGTCCTAAATTAACTTTAAACTTCAAAAGTCTGCACTAAAAATAACTCAGGAGCTGGTGGCCCATAACCAAAATGATGCTAAAGCAAAGTTTAAAGTTTAAAGAAATTAAACATTTAGCAGTAGTAGCAATAAAAGCTCCCTGAGATATGTTGTGCAGACATTGAAGACAATAAAAGATTTTGAACTTAACCAATTTATTAACAATATAATAAAGAATAAAAAACACAGAAAATAAATGTCAACAATATTAGAGTCTTAGGAAAAATATAATATAATCCATCATTCATCAAATATTTTTACCTGGTCTCCAAAACACTGGCATTCTATACAAAACAAAAAGTCCTAAACAGTAATTATGCGGCCTAAAAATGAAAGCTGGCTACACATTCAATAAATAAGTCCATAATCAATGGTCAAGAAAAACACCTGAAAATTTAAATGAAGTTCTTGAAAGCACTTAAAACCGGCCTAACCCCGTTTGCACAAGGAGTCGCCGCTCACGTATTTTAATTGCCGCCTTCATTGAAGAACATGGATGCCGCCCACGGCAGTCACTCATATGGTAGCCTCTGGAACCAAAGAACTTTAATATCTGGAACAATCATCCCGCAAACCGGAACCAAGGCACTTTAATCACCGGACTGCATGCATCCTTCTGAAGGGGCTGGAAACCGCTCACTCAAGTGCCGGAAAAGAAAGCAGGAACTAGAAGGGCTGAGCCAGAGCGACGCGAGATACTTATAGCAGAAGTAGGAATGACGTCATCTCACGGCAACCAATCAGCTATCGGCACGAATCGGCTTTTCAGATGACGTAACATCATGTTTCGTTTTTGCATCTCAATTAGGTTGAAACAGTCCGTTCTCAATGCAAACAGTGGCAGCAAGAAAAAAGAAGTAGAAGTAACTACTATATTACATTAAAATAAGGACTAAACTAAATAAACATTTCAAGGAGGAGAGATGATGCAGTAAAAGGTTTAAAAATAAGCTATATTTTCCAACACTCTCATTTTGCATGACAATGCTCGGCCGCATGCAGCTCAAGCTGTGACTGATTTGTTCAAGGCGATGGGGCTGAGAAGTGCTTTACCATCCACCATACTCCCCAGATCTAAGCCCTTGTGAATATGACTCAATTCCTAAGATGAAGGAACCACTTCGTGGCACTCGCTTCCAAACTGTTCCTGAGATTCTTGCGGCAGTAGACCGGTCCATTCAAACTATCAACAAAACAGGCACTGCTACAGGTATTCTGCGACTTCCGCATCGTTGGAAACGGGTTGTACACAATGCTGGCGACTATATTGAAGGACTGTAAAACATGGTGACATGAATCACTTTTGTATTCCTTGTAAATAAATAGTTGCCACTATTAAAGTTCCAACCCTCGTATTTTCTGCATGCCAGACTGTCTTGACATATTCAGCCATCCTGCTACACCCATAACTATCTGCACTATCATTCAGCGTCATGCAACTGCAACTCTACCAGGCCTTTTCCTGATGCCACGAAAACTGTTTCAAATGAACTAACACTGGAATCAAACTGAATTCCTGAAATTGGTAGACAAATGTAATGTAATGCCCTTTCCACACCTTTAACTCATTTGGGATGGGCATGTCATAACACACATGTGCATCACAAACGTTATCTCTTGGCTGGGTGTGTCATGTATAAAATGCCGTTTGATTCACTCTGTGGCCAGGCAAACCATGACTTCTCAGATACAGCATTTACCATATTTTCCACTGTATAACATGCATCTATAATTTCAGGCTACATTTTGTAAGTTTTAGGTATATTCGACGTATGACACACACCCAATTCTTCACAAAGAAACCTGAAAGATACATGAGCAATAATCATATCTTTTGCGGTCACTTATTCAAAGATTTGTCCTAGCCTTTCAACCAATAGTTTAGCGAACTGGCAACAGATAAGGGAACAATATGTGCATACGCTAAATACTTGAGGGAGTAAATATTCCTGCAAAGAATGTGGATTAAATTCAATGGCGTTATCCTTAAGAATGCTGTTGTATGATTTCAAGAAAAGGGGGATATAAATTGGAGTAAGAATGAACTTCCAACCTCAATGATTTAGTGGAATGAGGAGTTACATGTTTTTTCTTTCTGTAGTCACTTGAAGCTGTGATTTTTAAAGTGAAAAATCAAAGGATTTCTTAAATTGCATTTGTTTTAGTTAAAATACAATTAGTGTTCCTTTTAGTAGTTAAATATGGCACTCACAAAACAAACACAGTGCTAGTTTCAAATGCAAAGTCTTTCATTTTGCAAAATAAATGGAAATCGTGCTGCAACAAGGATATTTGGTATTGGTGAAAGATGGGAGATGATGATTATTTATGGCTCAGAGTAACAACAATGAAGATGAAATAGAATTTGATTATATGCCTGAAGACATAATGGAAGACAAAGATGACAAACTTTTCATGATATCCAATAATTAAATTTTTTTAAGTTAATCAGGTATATCATTTCTTTGAAATAAATAGCACCATTTTATATACGGCATATACGCACATCCATAAATTACAATCTTATTTTTAGTATTGAAAGTACACGTTATATGCCGGAATACATGGTTATTAATATTTTTGTTGCCACTAGATGTGTCTGTTATGGCAAAATTTATCGAAAGTAAAGCAAGTTGACTTTCATTCCTAAGCAATTTTTTTTTTAATTTTTGCTATTTTGTTTCTGAAATGAGAGTGAGATTTGCGGGTGCTGAGCAATGTAATGGCTCTTTATTTGCGTCAGTTGATATAAATAATTGCACAGGTTAGCATTACTTCAGAATGAATATATATACACACACATATATATGCGGATATAACGACGTTCTGTCTGATATAACGACTTTCTAAAGATGTTCTGTCATTTTACAGGTTTTTCATTATTGCTCTTAGATTTTTTTAGCATAAAGATGGGTATTTTGTTTAGTTGCAAATATTTTATACCTAAATGGCAAAACAAAAAGAGAAAACATATACACGAATGATAAATCAATCTTTTCTTCACACTTATGACAGTGATGATATTTTTTGCAGAATTGGAAAGTGATAGTTATGACAATTTGAATACGGACATATTTATTTGTTTACATTTATTTATTTGAGATCTGTCAAAAATTGCATATGCTGGATCTTTATAAACCAGATTTTTAATAATTTTAAATTTTATGAATGTGTTGTATTAAATAAAATCTGTAATTGGATGTTTTTGCCATATATATTTCAATAATTGTACTATTATTCTAGAATTATTTTTAAAAAAATTTAAACAAAATACAATAATAAATTTTAAAATTAATTCTGATAACTACCAGTGTTCCTCTCATAACATATAAAAAATTGGAGCAATTTGATGGCAAATTTATGTGAAATGTTTTCCAAAGTTAGGCTTAGCAGCAAAAATGCCCACTGCCACAACGCAAGGCATCTGGTTAGCGTGCCATCCTAAGAGATCAGTTTGATGACTGAGCAACCCATCCCCAGCGAGTTAAATGAAATCACGCTATTATAGTTTTCTCAAATCTGCTTCATTTTGTCACTTCACAAAATATTTTTATGAACACTGAAGACAATTTTGGAAAATTATAAATATCTATGAATACAATCAGATATCACCTTAGTTACTACTTATATGGATCTAAAATTTTAAATGTACATTTTTCAATACCTACCAGCTTAACAAAATTTCCTTGAACATTTCCATCAAAAAGCTCAAACTTTCCACCTTCTTTTGGTTCCAAAACAGAACTACCCCGAGTAAATGCATCTACCATCTAAAAAAAAAATATATATATAAGAAATTTCATAAACATTCATGATACATTATAACTCCTGACAAAGTAAGATAATTCGAAAACATACTTCTTTCACAGTCATTGCACGATAGAATTCATCTGCAGTGCATTTGAAAGACTCCACAGTTTTTAACTCGCTAGTTTCAAATGCCGTTTTCACAGGGGTATTTGCAGCAGGAGAATGAGAAAGCTTTAGGAAGAAAAAAATTTTAGTAATCTTTAAAAATACAATTCTGGGAATTAAAAACAAAAAATTGTGTAATAGAAATAATGATTTTGTCCTACCTTTACCTTTTTTGTACTGACTTTGTCAGTCTTGGTTACTTCATTCACTGTAGAATCTTTTGTAGGCAGGATAAGACCTTTTGCAAACTCTAGAAAAGCATAAAAATTGAATAGAATACAAAGTAATATGCACATGTAAAATAATGTAGCATGGGAAGTAAATTTCCTTCCGTAATAATGTCGACTCAACAAGTAACACGAAAATATTGCAACAGCTTTAATATCATTATTAATCTCTCGTGCATTTGAAATAGATTAATAATAAATAATGTACAGATTACTGGCAATATTGAAATGCATGCTCGAGAGCTGCATGCATCTCGCACGAAGCATGTAATTATTTTTTTTAAAAGAAGTTTATAGAATATGTTTTCTCATTTTGTTTGTATGTCGCCATTTTTTTTTAGTGGTAAATAAAAGTTATTGCTGTGTTCCATCATTGGAGTTGCTTCATTTCACCAAAGAAGCATCACAGTCATAATTATTTTGGAGGCACCGACGAGATCGAATAATCGTGTGTATTTTATTAGTTTATAACTGAACTAGTGATACCAGATTATTACTTCCTGTTAATATTGAATTGCTTTATTTTATTAGTTCATCACTGAACGTAATATTAGTGATACCAGATTATTACTTCCTGTTTATATTGAATTGTCTTATTTTATTAGTTCATCACTGAACATAATATTAGTGATACCAGGTTATTACTTCCTGTTGATATTGAATTGCCTTATTTTATTAGTTCATCACTGAACGTAATATTAGTGATATCAGGTTATTACTTCCTGTTAACACTGAACTGCCTTATTTTATTAGTTTATCACTTGAACGTAAACTTAGTGATACCATTTTAATGCCATTTCTACTAGAGCTCAAAGGAAAAGAAAAATAGCTGAAGAGCAGATCTTGGAACCGATGAAGGAAGAAAATAAAGCATCCAGAGATGTATTTGAAGAAGTTAAATCGCCAGAATTAAACGAGGAAGATGTTCACGAAAATTTGAAAAATGATAAAGAAATTAATATTGAGAATCATTTTGCAATGCAGCGTTATCATCATCTTTCGGCTTTTGATTTAATATCAAAGACGCTAATTCAGAAGTCAAACAACAAAAATCAGCGTTATATTTACAAAATTTTCACAGGACTAGTTTCGATGGTTTTACCGAACCACCATCTTCAGCTGCAAAACCGCAAATCGAAACTAGTCCTGTGAAAATTTTGTAAATATAACGCTGATTTTTGTTGTTTGACTTCTGAAATGGTATTTATTCGGCGTGTTATTGTGTCTTAATCAAAGACGCTACTAATAGACGAAAAAAACAATTGTCGAAAGCAAATGACAAATGAATATTATCCAAAAGGCACAGATGAACTGAGGAAAGGCTTTGCTGTGAATTATAGCCGAGGAACTGGTCCACCATGGAAGAGATCTAGGCGCCGTCAAGAAAAAAAAAAAAGAAGACTAATTTGAACACTGTCTATTTTCTTCCTATTTAAATGTGGTATAAAAAATTTTGTTTAAAACTTAAAATTTTCTGCCTGAAATTTGGAAACTTATGAGGGAAGTTACCTTTTCTCTTTAAGCATATGAGCAAGCCGAGCTTATTAAACTGTCAAATTTTACAGAACTTTTCCCTTAGGAAAAAAGTCTCCCAGTTGGGGAAGAGGTTGTAACAGCTTTAATATCGTTATTAATCTCTCGTGCATTTGAAATAGATGAATAATAAATAATGTACAGATTACTGGCAATATTGAAATGCAGGCTCGAGAGCTGCATGCATTTTCTCGCACGAAGCATGCAATTATTTTTTTTTTAAATAAGTTTATAGAATATGTTTTCTCGTTTTGTTTGTATGTCGCCATTTTTTTTTAGTGTTAAATAAAAGTTATTGCTGTGTTCCATCATTGGAGTTGCTTCATTTTGCCAAAGAAGCATCACAATATTTACTTGTGAAACACAACATGATACAATTACAAAGACCACAACATCACAGGTGTAGTGGGATCATTACACATGCAGATGGAGGTGCCATACTTCTCCAGAATTACTCAGTAGTTTTATTTACTGCCAATGCCTGTGGAGTGCAAGCTCAAAAGTCGGAAGAAGGAAAGCAAACCTGCAACCAGACCAACTTCAATCTGAGAAGAGAAAATTTGATTTTTACTTGCTGCAGTTTCTCCCTCTAGCACCAACGCTGTCACATCATGAAACTGGCAGTTAAATCTTTTGCGATGTCCTCTTTTATAAAGAGGCTGAAGGGGTCATGCTTTGACTCAAAGGAAGTTCTTAAGGACAAGAAATGATATGCACCTAATGGAATAACTGGATAGCTCAGGTTTGAAACTTGATAGACAGTTGGTGATTAATGAATCATAATAGCATACAAGCTGTCTTGATGAAGCATAAACTTAAGGATTTCCTGTTTAGCATAGCCACTCACAAGGTGCATGGAAATCTCAACTCAGTCTCCAGGTTTAAACTGGTTCTGACGTAAATTGCAAATGTATCTGTAGCTAGGCAACTGTTCTAAAGATATTTTCTTCTTGTAGCCTATGTGTCATGACTTGTTATTTATGTTATTTAGTGTTAATGTTAGTGTTAAATGTTATTTAGTGAAAAGGATTTATAAGGAGAAAGTAAATTAGCAATCTATACATTCTTAACATTGTGGTGATGTACAAAAGTCAATTTCTTAATACTGACCTTATTGATTTAAGATTTGATTAACATGAAAAATCTTACTAAAAGAACACTTGTTAGATCAATGTTCATGAAGTATTAAAATTCTTCAATAGCATCTTTAAATTAAACACATTTAAACGTGTCAAACTGAAATTAAATTTTATTCTATACAGTGAACTGTTACAGATCTGGAAAAACTGGATGATAAAATTGTTACTGCTTATGGCAAATCAGAAGATGTTTCATGTTGAAATCGACAAAAACTGAAGAATATTGAAAATTTTTTATATGTATCTCGCATTCGTATTAAGCATGTGTTGATAAACTTTCAAATTTTTGTGAACTGTTGCTGTTGAATACAGATGTAAAAACAAAAAGCTTCTTAAAATTACAATAGAAGTTAATAAGTTAAACTTAATGGGAAATTGAAGCAATGGCTCACATTTAGGAGTGAGTTCAGCAGAATTCATGACAATGAGTCAACTGGCGATAAAGATAAATTTCAACATCTCATCCAATGCATGACAGCAGTAAAGCCCAAGAGATTGTATCGACCTATCTGCATACCACTGTTAATTATGCAAAACTGAGCTTAAAAATGAGATCTGGCTGCAAGGAGCTACTTGTTAAGTATTATGCAGGACAACTGCTCTCACTAGTAGTAAAATGCTATGAACATGAAAACAAAGATGAACATTGTGCAGCTGTACGACAGACTGGAGTCACATCTGAGCTCTTAAAATCAACTGGGGTTAACTACAAGTATGACGTTATTCCCATTGGTGGAATCATGCGTTCCTGAAAATTAGTTACAGGTTTAGTTACATAATCTAATGATTAATAAAGAAAAGAAACTTATGGTGATAAACGATTCCAGTTAATGCTTTCTTCGTGCTGAAACAAACAAACAAAGAACTGCTTTACCCAAAAGATGGTTTCAATTGAATGAAATTTCAAATAAAAGTCAAAAGTACAAAAAGCAATGGCTAATGTTTAGTATTGGGTACTAAATAGCTATGAAAACTACTTGATTATTTTGTGCAAAATGCATTATTCACAAGACTATTTTAAAATCCATAAAATGTCTTTTGAAAGGGGGGAAGAGTATTTTAAGGAAAAACTAAACTTGTTTTGTATGACTGAGGACTGAGCATTGTTCAAAAAATTGCAAGGTTAATGTCTGATCCATAATTTGTAAAAAGAAAGACTGGGCAGGGCAACATCATTTGCAATTCTGAAACACCATCTATCAAACCCTTTGCACTGCGTTTTTCTTTTTGCCCAAATAGCAACAGTAAAATAGTTCGGAATTAAAAACTTAACATTAGAATTTGTTATGAAAAATGAAATTTGTTATCAGGCCTGCGCAAAGCCTAATCGGCGCCGTCGTGTAAATGTCTAGCAAGCGCTTTTATGCGGTGATAAAATTAAAGGGAAACTGCTTATGGTTATTACTTATGAAGTATTATCAACATAATAATATGAGAAACCCAAAAAAATTGTTTTATCTTTCAATTTGTCAAAATGTGCAAACATTTAGTGCTTTGTTAAAGCCCACACTCAAACATATTTATTGAAGAATTATACATATACACTGGTGTGCAAAAATTAAGGATGAAGTCGAAAAATTAGCATATCAGCTGAACGAAGAGGTAGAGCGGACAGAAAGACCAATCAGGAGATTAAGTAAGGTGATGTACAGTAGCACATGCGCAGATATGCAGGTAGACGTAATGGGGGAGTGTCTGAGTAGTATAAAGCATGTTGTTGGTGTAAGATCAGTTTTTCTGGCAAAGAGATTGCACGCAGTATAGCAGTTAAAATCACACCAAGTTGCTGCCTCAGCGAGAAATGGTGAATAATCAATCTGTTAAACGACATCTGGATGCTTTTACCCGAGGTCGAATCATTGGGAAGTTGGAGGAAGGCTGCAGTGCGACAAGTGTGGCTGCAGGGTTCGGAATTGCTCACAGCATCGTTTCATGACTTTGGAGACAATTTCAAACTACAGGAACAGCTATTAGGGGTTTAATAGTGGTGGTCCACGAGGAACCACACCCGCAGATGACCGGTATATTGCCTTACAGGCCAGAAGTAACAGGCGGCAGACAGCGGGAGAAATCGCTAGACACAGGCGACTGGACGACCGATATCGCGTTTTACCGTGGCCAGAAGACTGCACGGTGGTGGTCTGTTTGCACGATGCCCTGTACGGTGTGTACCTCTAACGCCTGTTCATCGGAGAAGGCGTTTTCTGTGGTGCCGGGAACACCGGAATTGGAGAGACAATGAATGGGGACGAGTACTCTTTACAGATGAGAGCAGATTCAGTCTGAGTAGCGATTCTCATCGCATACTCATCTGGAGAGAGCAGGGAAGCCGCAATCATCCCTCGAACATC